TTCTAATTTTCAATTTCACTTGTATTTCAAAATTTTAACACCAGGAACTAAAAATTGTGATGCAAATGCGAGATTACCTTTTAGATACGCGGTAGATATAGTCAAAAACTTTCTAGGGTTATTATATTTTTTCTAATTAACCTTAACATTTCCAAAAAAAAAGTTTGACTTTAATCCTTCGTTGATAGCTTCCAGGTGTTCTATATATTCTTGTAAATTATGTTCCACTTGAAGAAATAAACCTGGATTACTGCGTTTGACACTAGTTGATAATTCTAGGGTTCTACTTTTACCGATATATAGATATTTTGTTCTTCATAGAAGTTGACTTTGATATTCGCTATAGACAGTTATGAGCTTAAATAAAAGTGTTCTTAAATAAATTCCATTTCTGTTAATTGTGGTTAACTTTCTCAAGCGTTTAATATTTGTTGACATTTCTGAAGTTGTATTTTTGACGATAGATATATATATATGTTTATTCCTCAAAAAAAAAGTTGACTCGATCATAGTTGATAGATTCCAGGTGTTCTACACTGTAAAAAATTTTGGGAATAATCACCAACTTTTTCTGATGAATATTCCGTAATTTTTGGTGAAAATACTTTTCCCGAAATTTTGGGAACAATCACCAACTTTTTCTGGTGAGTGTTCCAAATTTTTTTGTGAAAATGCTTTTCCCCTAAAAATTAATGATTATTACCCAATATTTTAGTGAAAATTCCCTTATATTCTAATGAATTTTTTTTCCTCAACAAATTGGTGAATATTATCCAAAATTTTGGTGAAAATTCCCCAAAATTCTAATAAATATACTTTGCCTAAAAACATTGGTGAATATTAGTTAATAATTTGGTGAAAATTCACCAAAATTCTAATGAATATATTTTCCCTAAAAACATTGGTGAATATTAGTTAATAATTTAGTGAAAATTCCCTAAAAATTGTAATAAAATAATTGTAATTTTGTTTAAAATTTAATTTAGAAAGATACATGAAAAATTATATTTTTAATGTAAATTTTTTTAAATGTATTTTGTATTTAATATAATACAAATAATAGTTAATAAGTTAATAATAGTAATAATAATACAAAAAATAGTATATAATATAATATTAAACATTTATTTAATACATTTTTAATTGCTAAACTAAAACGTATAACAATGCATTCTTACGCTTAGTTCAACTAAAATTTGGTTGGCTTAAATAAATTTTTTTCTAAGTTTATTACAGCAAAAATATGAGTTTTAAAAATTGTTTCTAGTATGTTCTTTAAAATATTTTCGTTATGTGTAGAAAAAAATATACGATGTTTAAAATATTTTCTCGTTTTGAAAGGTTTGTCACATCTGGTTTGTCTCAGGATGACCAGCTACAAGGGTTTCTCGTTACAATAAAGCCTTATTTTATGAGTTTTTCGAGACCCGTTTTTTTCTTATAGATTTATTAAGATGGTAAGTTTGTGAAATTTTTCGTATTGGAATATGGATATAAAATGTTCAAAAATTTTCCATTTTCGAAAACATTTCCTCCGAAAGGTCTGTCCAACATCAGTTGCTCCTGAGCATTAGCCAGGCTAACTACAAGTGAAATTAGTGAGTGAAAAATAGTTTTATAAAGTCAAGAAGGCATTTTTACAAAGTGCAAAATTTCTACAATATTCGAGGAATATATTGTACAAAGGTAAATAATATTTAATAATATTACCTATTATGAAAATAATTGTTGAGCGTTCTGAATAAAGAAACAAAGAAAGTTAAGCTGTTAAATTTTAATTTTGTACTTTTAAGTTTTAACTATATTGGAGTTTCTTCTTCACAATTCTAATTAACAGTACGCAACGTTTTATTATTATTATTAATTATTAAAAATCAATTTTTATTTACTCTCCAAATTTGAATTAGTAGAAAACTACTAATTCCACAGAGACAATTAAGCAACTAATTGAAAATATTTAAATTCTACTGAAGTATCAATTAAAATAACTAATTAACAGTTAAACAATTTGAGGTTATGTTTGAAAATAACTGAAATATTAGTAGATTTTGTTTCTCTATTGTTTCAGTAAGGTTTTCTTCTGATAATTTGTGGAATTTAACTAATGTTTCAGTTATTTCTTACTGTCAATTAGTTAATTTTTACTAATTGATATAGCGAAAATGAAGTTAGGTTTTGACTTTTAATCAGTAGTTTTCTACTAATTCAGATTTAGAGAGTAATACAGAAAATTATAAAATTGCTTACCTAAAAATTTTTTTTATAATTTGTCGATTAATAAAAACTATAAGACATATATTCAGGCGAAAAATTATAGAATTTTTCATTCTAAAAAATAATTTCTTTAATAATGGTTTTATCAAAAAAAAAAGTATTTTGAAATTTAGAATATATATGAATACCCGGATCAAATAACTCGACCGACGCTCGGACGAACGCTCTATTATCAGTCAAGTAGCAGTGACAGCCTGTGGGCGGCTCACTGCTACCCGACTACCATTAGAGCGTGCGTCCGAGCGTCGGTCGAGTTATTTGATCCGGGTATTCATATATTTATATACTATAATAAGTTATATATATAATAAGTTATAAGTAAACATTTTTTTTAGTTGTGATAACATTTCTTGAAATTATTATTCGATACAATTTCAATGTAATAAACTTCTTTTACTAGAGAACTTTTTATTTAAACATTTAATTGTATTCTTGTCCCAATTCTATAAATCGTTCGAAGCTCGGACGCATGCTCTATTGGTAGTCAAGTAGCAACCCAACCAAAAATTTCAGTATTATACCAGAGTTAACTACTGGCGCTGTACTGGTTCAGTATTGGCTTCCGAGATTGGGCAGTCTGTACTGAACCAGTACTGGGTAGCGATTATGTATTTTGATTTAACTTTGACGTCAAAGTTGATTGTTTTGATTTGTCAAATTGTAATATCCACAATTTATTTAGGAATTAAATTATAAAAAAGTAAAGTAAGTAATTTCAAACAGTTAAAAAAGCGGTATAATTAAAAAATTTTTAAAATATTAATAATTAGGTTAAAATTATTTAATAAAAAATTATTTCATCTGTCAACGGTAAGTATTTTTTTAATGTTGAAACTAGGGATATATTATAATTGTTTTGAATAATGCCTTACTTTCATTTTTATAAATGTAGTCAGAATAAAATAAACTAAAATATCAAAAACTAAAGAAGAAATTACGTCGTTTAAAAGATAATTCAAAACAAAAAATTACTTACATTTGACCGATGAAATATTTTTTTCATAAAATAATTTTAACTTAAATTAATTTCCTACTGTTTTGAGCAAATTAACATTTTGTACATAATTTATTGATGTAATTTAAAATAGAAAATGCTCAACATAAATTATTATTAAAAATGCTCAATTTTTTGGCATAATGTAATTGCAATTAATTCCTAAACATAAATTCAGTAACGAGACTGTTATTTATATTTGTGTGAATAAAAATTAACGATTAATTTTATTTAAACTGTAATTAATTATATATAAATAGTAATATTTAAATAATTCTTTCAATTTTTCCTCTTAACACATGTGAATGAATAAATAAATAAAATACTATTAATGTTTTGATTATATTTCATAAATTAAAGTTTTTTTAACCTCTTACTTTTACTTAGTTTGTTAAAGTTATAAAAGTTTTTTTTAAAAATCCTTGTAATGCTGTCTTGATCTTTTTAAAATTACTTACTTCACTTTTTGTTTTTCATCATTTAATTCCTAAATAAAGTTTTTATTCTTAAATTTTTAATAAAGGGAAAAAAGTAATTATACTTCAAAATTGTGGTTATTACAATTTAACAAATCGAAACAATCATTTTACGTAAAACTATGTAAAATGACATTTGACTACGAAGTCAAAATGAAAATGACTTTGACGTCAAAGGTAAATCAAAATACATAATCGCTACCTTGGTATTTTCATTATATCAGTACTGTTGCAGTACCACACTACCAGTACTAGCAAACCAGTAGTGAGCCAATATTGGGCCAGTACTGGCTCAAATAGAATTACTTTTTGATTAATACCAGTTTATAAAAACTTCTAGAGTGAACCTGATGAATCTTTTTATTTAAATATTTTGTTTATAAAAATTTTTGCACCTTGATTTAATTTTTCAAAATTAAAATGTGTTTTATTTTGCTTTTCTGTGGGTAAAATTATTTTTAACAAAAAGTTTCCTGAGACCAATTCCAAAATATTTTGCAAGATTTTCTTATTGTTTTCTGATATGCAATAAACCAACAAAAATTTTTTAACAATCAATCTAAAAATAAATAAATTTGTTTATAAAAAAATTAATATTTTTTAAAATAAAAATTTAGAATATGTCTACTTTAAGATGTCTATGGTAGGTATGAATCAATGAAAAGAAATTCAATTCAGCGTCTATGTCCTCAGACCGAGAGTCAAAAGTCTTATCAAGAAAACGTTGAAATGGGTAGAATTATAATGATTTTATGCGATAATGCAGAACGTTTATTTCTTGTTTTGGAAATATTAAAAACTACTTTTCAACCAAGCTCTCGACTACATGAACTAGGAAACTTTATCCGATACGAATGTCTTCCAATCAGTAAATTACTGGAAAGTAAATCTTTCGATGTTTATATCCACGATACAGTATCGTATGTTAAGATTAATCATGGACTTGTAGCAACTCCATTATAATTTGTTTTAATGTTATTCTTTTATACGAATGTAGATCATTAAGGATTTTTTCAATTTGATAAATTTTATATGTAATAATAACACTTTTATATTAGTCATTTTATTAATAATAATAATAATAATAATAACTGTCTGAAAAGATAAATGAAAACTATGGATTTTATTTATAAAGTGAGTAAATAACAATTATTGGATATTAAAATAAATAACTTTTGTGTCATAGTTTTTATATGGATTATTATGTAATAATATTATAACATTATATCGCATATATACAAAAGAAATATTTCAAAATTGATAAAGCAAAAAAATTTTTTCTTTTTAGTTTTAATATGGAATTTTTGAAGATAACAACACTACAGAGAAAAAAGATAGCGGCTATAAGGGTTTCCGCAGAAGAAGAATTAATTTCTAGGGCTTGTAAACGTTTAGATCTTCCACTTGATTCTAAATATAAGGTATTGAATATTTTATAGAAACAATTAATAACTCTTTTATTATCATATACATGGATTATTCTTTCAGTTTGTGTTAGACGACGATGGAACTGACTTTGAAGATTTTTATGAACTGATTGAATTTATTACTCATACTCCGGGAGTACTAATGATTTTGAAGGAAGATGAAGAATGGATATCGAAAATTTCTTCATCCCAAGTTAGTGAAACTGAAGTACTGCAATCTTCTATCATAAAGGGTACAAAATTTTAATTATGAATTGTGCTTTCTAAATTAATCAAGTATCTTTTAAAGAATTGTTAATTTTTTATATAATAAATACCTGTTTATATAAGCGTATGTTAACATTGTACATAGATAGACTTTTATATAAAGTATGAATAACTGAACATATTTTTTACAGATGAGGTAACAATAACAACTATTTCAGAATCTCCAACACCATCGACTTCTAACAGTACCTTAACTAATGAAGAACCTTGTATGACACCATTAAAATGGCAAAATATTACGCCAAAGGGTTTTAATGATGTTCCGTACAATTCATGTTCTAAAGAGCTTCAATTAATAAGAAATGTTGCAGATTTTATGATAGAAGTAAAGACCACAACTTATTCAGATGCCTTGCGTATGGCTAAAGAAATAGTTACTCGTTTTCCTAAGGCTTTTGAAAAACGAACCTGGAAAAATGGCGAGGATTCTATTTATTCTGATGGAATAGACTCTCTTAGGACTAGGATTTATGAACGTTTGAAGTATGTGCAAATAATTATTAATCAAATTCTCTTTTAAGCGAGAATTTTTCTCTAAGAATTATTTTATTAATGTTCTAGATTTCTAAAAACAATCAGCAAAAAGCGCAAAAGGAGTGAGTCAATAGATAATGCAGAGGAGCTGGAAACCCGGAAAAAAACCAAAACATCAAGATATGGTCATAATCAAGACTGCTATGGCTGTGTCGCTTTTGAGCCATCCCTTTCTGAAAATGAAACTGATGAGTCCCAATTAAGTAAGAAGAGTATTTTGTTAAATTACAAAAGATCAGATGAAGGTACATCAGAAGAAATAGAGTCATTAATGAGTGACACTTATCCATCACAAAGAATAATGATAAATAAAAGGGATGTAAATAAAATAGTTCTGGAGGATATTTTAAGAAATCATTGGCCTTACCTAACGGAAAAAAAGTATTTTCTTTCGCATGCCAACACTTTGCTTGGACAAAATATTAAAGAAGTTTGGAATAAGAATATACAATTAAAGATTCCAGAAATAATAGTTTTTTTTAGAAGCTATTGTGGACAATTTAATAAAAAAAAATCTTTTCCTGAGGCTGTTGCACCAATGAGAGATATTTTAAGTGAGGCAAAGAAAGCAAATGAAAATCTCGCCAGTAATATGGCAAGTACATTAGTTTTTTTGCCTCTTATTGCAAAAAAGTTTAAAGAGGATGAGCTCTACATTTTAGTTGTAAGTATAAAAAAATCTGTTATGTTTGGGGCTTAAAAATATGTATAATAAAATTTATTAATATTTTTTTCTATTTTTAGGATTCTTTTGCTACTGAAGATAAAATCAAGGACAAAGCAGATTCAATACGCCCATCATTAATAATAAAAGGTAAATATGGTATAAAATTTACAATTTACTGTACTTTAAATCATTACTCATATTTTTATTAAACGTATAATTACTTTTGCAGGAAACTCACTTTATGATGAAAAATGCGAATGTCTCATCTTCATTGAGAGGGAGAAAGTTTTAGAGGCCGATACTGTATTAGAGGGAGTTTTACTATTAACACTTTGTTTCTATGTTTTCGGATATAATTACCCTGAAAGAAAAACATCATCTTTAGAGTTTGTCCAGAGGTAAGTTTTACTCTCTGCTCTCTTAATTTTGTCTTCATATCTATACAGAACAAATTTGAATAAATTTTATCTTAAATGTAGTACTTTACATCATACATAAAAATAACTCTTAGTATTAACATCTTTGTCAATCACTATTTGTATTTAATTTAGCCATAAATAAACATTTCAGAATGCTGTTAGATATTAATCCGACAGAAGGACACAAACGGTGGACAAAGAAGTCCACAAAAATATGCAGAGATGCAAAGGCGGGAAAATTAATCGACAACATTGTTGAGTTCAATTCCAATTTTTATACTCCATAAATTTAATATATATGTATAAAACATATAAATTCATTAAGTCTACATTTTGTTACTATCTTAATATTATATTATTATAATAGATATATTTTCAAAGTAATTTTAAAAAAATAAATTAAATTCTGTTCAAACACGTTTCTTCATTTCTGTTTATTCCAAAGAAATTTGTTTTTAAACTTTACCAATACAAAAATAACAAGAAAATAAAATAATTCACCAAAAACTCTTGGGGCATATTTAATAATATTTGTGAAATATTAACTAAATTCTTAAGGGATATTAACTAATAAATGTGAAATATCCACAAAATTTTAGAGTTATTTCACCAAAAAATCTTATGGAATATTAACTAATATTTGTGAAATATTCACAAAAAGTTTTGGGGAAAATTCACAAGAAATCTTGGGGAACATTCATTAATATTTGTAAAATAACCCCAAAATTTTGGAGAAAATTCACCAAAAAATCTTGGTAAATATTCACCAATATTTTTAAAACATTCACAAAATTTCGGATAAAATTCACAAAAAATCTTGGGGAACATTCATTAATATTTGTGAAATAACCCCAAAATTTTGGAGAAAATTCACCAAAAAATCTTGGTAAATATTCACCAATATTTTTAAAACATTCACAAAATTTTGGATAAAATTCACCAAAATAGCTTGGGAAACATTCATTAATATTTGTGAAAAAACCCCAAAATTTTGGAGAAAATTCACCAAAAAATCTTGGTAAATATTCACCAATATTTTTAAAACATTCACAAAATTTTGGATAAAATTCACCAAAATAGCTTGGGAAACATTCACAAAAAAATTTTGGGGAATATCCACAAACTTTTGTGAAAAATTTTCCCCAGAAAGTTTTGGGGAATATTTACTAATATCTGAGAAATATCCACAAAAATTTGAGGAAAATTTTCCCCAAAAAATTTTGGGTAATACTCCACAAAAAGCCCTCCAAATTTGCGTCACCAGAATTTTTGGGAAATTTCACCAAAAAATTTTTTACAGTGTATTCTTGTTAATTTTGCTCCACTTCCTTCAAGAATTAAGCTTGGATTACTGCGTTTGACACTTGCTGACATTTTTAGGGTTCTACTTTTGCCGATAGATGATTATTCTTTAAAAAAAAGTTAATTTTGTTATTCGATAGACATTTTTGTCGACATTCTGCAGTTTCATTTCTATTTTCTTCGACAAGATGTGCGGTAGACATTTTAGTGACATTTTAGACTTTTATTTTGCTGCGCAACTGCGTTGTGTTGTGTTGTGTATGCATTTTGTCAAAAATAAAGTATTTTTGGCCAATTTAGGTTTATTTTAAGTTAGTTGAAAAAAAATGTGAAAAATAAAAACTAAAAAATTGCTCAGTAGTACTGTATTCAATCTACAGTTGCGCATAATTATTGTCTTTTTTCTACAGTTGCGCAGAAGCACTATATAAGTTCTACAGTTGCGCAGTAGAACTATGTGTAATTTGTAGTTGCGCAGAAGTATGAAATACAGTGTATAGTTGCGCAGTAGTATAGTAACACTAAATATTTTCTACAGTTGCGCAGTAGAATTATTTATAGCATGTAGTTGCGCAGTAGTATTATTTAGTCCATAACGTTACGCAGTAGAACTAAATACAGTCAATAGTTGCGCAGTATTACTGTGTACAATTTGTGCTTGCGCAGTTATATATAATGTACTGTATAACCTTGCGCAGTAGCACTAAATACTTTCTATACAGTTGCGCAGTATTTTTTTCACCGAAGTATTGAATAGTTTCTACAGATGCGCTGTAGTATTTGTGTATTAATTGCGCAGTAGTACTATATACGTTCTACAGTTGCGCAGTAGTACTGCATACAGTCTATGGTTGCGCAGAAGTACTATGTACATTCTACAATTGCGCAGTAGTATTTTATAGGTTCTATCATTGCGCAGTAGTACGCTAGACAATCTACAGTTAATAATATATACTAATTGTAAGAGTTTAGTTTCCCTTTTAAAATATAATCCATCAACTTTTTTTTCTCTCATATCCAAAAAAAAATTCACTCAATTTTTTTCCCCCTTAATATCCAAAAAATTCACTTTAAGAAGTTTTTAAGTGACTGTCATTTAATATACCATATAATTATAATTTTGTTCTGGAACTTAACATTGTATATCAGAAATGGTGACAGAAATGTATAATTTGAAACATCAAAGCGCGGCAATATTTTCACAATGTTACTTAAAATAAAAAAAGAAGAGCGTGAACCTATACTTAAAAGTGCATATATATGTGTAAAAGAAAAATCATATAATATATGCACTGAAACCTCTGATCTGAAGGACACAACAGGTGCGTTGAAACAAAAAAAAAAAAGAAAATTAAAATTTAAACTATATAAGGTGAAATGATTGATGAGTAATTGACAATATTTCCGTTCATATATTTAAATATTATGTGCGGGTATTTAAAAAAAAAAATCTCCCTAGATGCCCAGGGTGCTTAAAAAGGAAACTGATGCTATCATCGTTTTCTTCAGATAATTCTAACCAATATAAATAATATTATATATAATCAAAGCTCGGGGAACGTTTAAGGTAAGCCGCAACAAAAGACGCCTAATTTGTTGAATGAGTAGTTTTGCGGTTTGTCATTATATATCATAATCTCTTCAATTATATACAGATCATTTTTTAGTTTTAATTTTTGTCATTATAGGAGTATTTTGCCTCTTCAGGGTGAAACAAAAAATGAATTAATAGCTGGTTATTTATTATTATGGGGTTTTAATTAGGGGCATAGGGTATAAGAGAGAGAGAGTCGGCATCAGTGGGTCACATTATTATCAATTTTAGTCAGATTTTTATTTAAAGGGAAATAGTAGGCAACAGTGGGTCACTGTTTTTTGTATTTTTTATATTTTATTAATTTCGGTTACATTTTTCTATAAAGGGGAAAGTAGGCAACAATGGGTCACTTCTTTCAGTATACTTAAAATTATTAATTTTTGGTCACATTTTTATATAAAGAGGATAGTAGGCATCAGTGGGTCACTTTTTTCCTGCACTTTTGGTCGTATTTTTATATAAAGAGGGAATTGGCAACAGTGGGTCACTTTTTCTGTATTTATTATAATATTAATTTTTGTTAAAAAGGATAGTGGACAACAGTGGGTCACTTTTCTGCATTTATTATTATGTTACTTTTTGATCATATATTTAAATAAAGAGGGTATAGTAGGCAACAGTGGGTCACTTTGTCTGTACTTATTATTATAATATTAATTTTAGTTACATATATTTTTAAGTAAAGAAGCGATAGTGGGCAACAATGGGTCATTTCACTTGTTAGGAAAATATAATCAGAATTTACAAATTTCAAATTCTATAAACTTTAACTTTTTTTGCTTGATCCACTGTACACCACATGTAATAACAAGAAAATATTTTAAAAAAATATGAAATAATTAATAATATACATCGCTACTGAGAAAGGGGCGTTTATTCATTTAAATAACTGTCTTATTATTGACTATACATATACGAATAATACGAATATTCCTATATCGCCCAAGAGACTATGCCTGTTGTTAATTATACCTAATATAGCAATTATCTGTCAGAATATCCATTATGAGAAGGGACAGACTATCTTTCAAATAGAAGATTCTTTCTTCTTTTTTTTGTTTATTGTTTATAGAAATCGTCTTAACATCAACATTCGCCATTAAACTTAAAATATGTCTAGCCATTAACTTCAATCAAAATGAAAAAAGTTAAAAGGCCATAAATTTTGTCCCCTTATTTAGCGATTAGATTATAATGAGCGAATTGGAAAATAAAAAAAAAAATTTTTTTTTTTAATTATATTATAAAGAAAGAATCAAGCGTATATAGTACCTCCAAGAAAAGGTATATAAATAATATAATCTTTTTTTTTTATATTTTATTATTAAATTATATAAAAAAAATTAATTTTTTTTAATACACAATTTAAAAAAAGGGTGATTTGTATCCACTGTGTACTTTAAGGGTTTTTCTAAAGTATATAATGATACGTATCACAATATAAATAAAATATATTTTAGAAAGGAAATTTTAATTGTTTTGAAAAGTGGCCCATTGATGCCGATCACTATATCTTGAAAACTATTAAGAATAGTTTTCTTTCTTCGAAAAAAAAAATTACGTGATTTGAATCGACAGAGGTTAAGGTCCTATTTACATTCCCCTCTTGTACAATATATATATATAAGCATGAAGAGTTTGAAAAATAATTTTTTTTAACAAGTAAACTTGAATTCGGTGCCTAGTACCGACCAATCGACACCGAACGTTGCCCACACGCAGTACAAGTTACCGCAGCATGTACCCAACTTGTATCATGAGACATGGCGTCATAAATACTTGTGGACATCGAGGGCACATGTGCCCTTCTTCAGCTTTTAAATGTTTCATCTCTCTCTCTCTCTCTCACTCTTACTAATACAGCCAAATACATGAACTCTCTGTCTCAGTCATCTTGCTAGTCATATATACCTTAAGCAATATTCTCTCGCGAACCTCTGTGACTACATGCAGGATCTTGGTCTTAAACTGCATCCTGTCCAGCAGGACGTGTGTGTATTTCTAATATATATATATATGGCGACCAGCATTCACGTCGATCGATTCACGTAGCTACAGCGATCGCTTCGGGCAATCGATACCTTCATACATCTACAGTCCAATCAGAAAATATCAAGTTGAATCGATGAAAAATTTTCTCATAATCATTTTCAATTGGCATATATATATATGAATTTAACTGATATATTCAAGGTTTTAGGTTGTAGAAAGTACTTTTGCGATAACTGTAGAAAATAGACAGTACTTGTGCGCAAGTGTAAAATTAAAACACTACTACTGCCCAATTGTAGAATATATAGAGTACTTCTGCGCAGCTGTAAATTGCATACAGTACTACTGCGCAACTATGAATATTCTACATTATACTACTGCGCAAGTGTAGAACGTATATAGTACTTTTTTTTGCAAATTTAGACTTAATATAATACTACTGCGCAACTTAAAACTGTACGTAGTACTACTGCGCACGTATAAAACGTATGCTGTACTTCTGCGCAACTGCAAACTAAACACAC